AAAAAGTCGCACCCAAGCATTACCTCACGCTTCTGTTGAAACTAACTGTGTTTGCAAAAGTGGTCACAAAATACCTAATATCTTACAAATTTTGTTATAAATTTTTAAGGTTTTTGTTTTCTAAATGCAACCTTGTTTATAGACTTAGATCAACTTGTAAAACTGACATTGATTTCACTTGCTTCCTTATGTTGACACCAAAGTACTGAAAAAAAAAGTGATGATTAAAAATGAGGTACAAGAGAATAGTAAATGTTATTTTTCTATTAACTGTTTGAGCATTTTTGATAAGAGAAAATCAAAGAACAAAACTCTAGAAAAATAATTTTACTATACATATTCAGCAGTTGTATATCAAAACTGAAATACATATCTTTAACTTCCCTGAAAAATTCTCCAAACTTTTTCTTGTAGTATTTGTGGTCCATTAAGTAAAATATATTGTATTCTTTAGCATTACTTTAGTTAACAATATTGATTATAATGTTTAATGTTTTTTTTTATTATTATTTTAAAGATTATTTTACTTTCTTAGCTTAGTATATCAATTTAGGACTAACTTAAATCTCCTAAACTGGTTGAATGTTATTAGAGTAGGAGGTTTATCTTGTATTTTACTTGTAATGTGTTGTGTTAGGCTACTGTGAAACATTTTTCTTATATTGTTGTTTTAACTTATCCCCTGTTTGATCAGCAGGAAGGTTACAGACTTAAAATGCTAAAAACTGGAGTTCACTACCCCATGGTAGATTGAGTGAAAATAGCCTATTGCATACATTTGTGCTTAAAAGTAGTATATAACAGTTTTTTTACCAAGTAAGAAAATGTCCACTTAATATTTTTGTTCTGCTAGGTAATATAAAACAGCTGTATTTGGTTTCACTGAAAAGGTGTTGAGAAAAAAAAAGGTGTTGCTGTTAAGTTTTACTATGACATAAATGGCATTTACTACAAAGCTAGATCATAAACATTTGAAAAGAAAGAATATATAGTTAAGAATAGTTTTAAGATCTCTAAATAACTGTCAGATTTAAGATTTGATGAACAAGTTTATTGTGTGAGTCTGGATATGGGAAATTTTTATCATATCAAAAGATGTTTTCAATTTCTATTTTTACATTTTTGTCACAAATTTCTTAATTTGAGGGTATATTCAACGTCATTTTCACTCACCTACATGTAGGCTTGTGCACATCCTTACAATCTCCACTCAGATTTAAACATCTAATATACTGGGAAATTTTGCCAAAAAAACTTAGATTATCAAATATTTAGATTTAGATTTAAAAAATCAGCCATCTTTTAAAACTACTTGGCTTTGTGAATCAAAAAGACAATTTGTGACAAAAATGTAAAAATAGAAATTGAAAAACACACTTTTTGATATGTTAAAACTATTATTTCCCTTATCCAATACCTTTATGATCTGGCTTTTATAGTAAATGCCATTTATGTTGTAGTAAAACTTTACAGCAACACGTTTTTTGGGGGTTTTTTCTCAGCACCTTTTCAGTGAAACCAAATACAGCTGTTATGAAAAATAAACAATTATCTCTTGGACTTGTTTTAATAATAAATTCAAACATTTATAAAGAAAGAATATATAGTTAATAATAGTTTTAAGATCTCTAAACAACTGGCAGATTTAAGATTTGATGAACAAGTTAGATACTATAGGTATATGGATGATACATTTGTTATATTTAAGGAAAAAGAACAAGTTATTTCATTTTTAGAGCATCTAACCAAACAATATTCTTGTATGAAGTTTACAGTTGAAGAAAAGAATATCTGAAATTTGTCATTTTTTAGACTTAGATATTAATAACTGGATATAATTTAGAAATAGGAACATATCATAAACTAACATATACAGGATTCCTTAGAGGTGGTAAAATATGTTTCAGAATAACATTTTATGTGAGGGGGAATAGGAAAGTTTAAGTGATTTGAATTTTTATATATGTATATATATATTTTAATATCGGATAGTATTTGAGACTGTTATGGTGTGAAACTATCTTGACCTTTTGTGTTTTAAACTTAATATCAAACATCTTAGCTCACCTTAAGACTAATTATATCTTAATATCTAATAGATATAAGGATAATTTGATAACTATCTTATATTATAGAGGTTATGATATTGCCAGTAACAAGCATTATTTTCAGAAAAAAATAGTGTGAGAAATTTATTATTAAAAATGGTTTTCTTCTTCCATTATTTTATAACTTTTAAGTGAAGTTTACACCCCTCAAAAAAGTGAGTTATAATGTGCCCAAATTGTAATTTGATGCCAATCTCCCACATATAGATATAGAAAGTTATAAGTTGAGAAGCACAAAATATCTTAATTAAATTATCTACAAATTTCAGTGTGTAGCCTTAAAAATCACTAATGAGAATTTAGAACTTTTTCAAGATATTGGACAGAATCTGTATATTTGTTCTTGATGTGGACGAGATTATGGGGGGATTGAAGATGTACCATTTTGATCAGCTGAAGCCTAGTGCTGGTAATTCTTCAAATATTTACATGAGGAATGTGATGGAATTACTGATAAAAGAACTTAAGAAGTTATGGATAACTTAGCACATCATAATTTCTGTGTTAAGTATTATTCAGTTACAAAGGAGATGAAGCCTTACTATTGTGCACATATGCTATGTACTTGACATCTTTGTTATTAAATTATTCCACGTTTATTTGGTATGGTAAAAACTATTCTTTTAATAGATATCCTTTACAAAATGTAAATAAAATTGGTAGCCCATAAGAGTTGTTCCTAGACTTACCATAAATGATTTCATTAGATAATATAAGTTGCTTGGCTAAATGTTTTGCAAACATGATAAAATATCTGAATGAAAAAAATTTGTGTGAATATTGTCAGTCGTAAAATTAAATACAAAAGAGTTAGCCCTAAGCAACAGCATTTTATTACCTGCAATTTGAGAAAACATTAGCTAAAAACTATGTTCACTATGAAAAAAATAATATTACTTGAACCAGTGTTAGCCATATTTTTTTTATGATACTTAAAAATACATTTTTTTCTTTACAGTGTATTTGATGTGATGCAAAAGACCTACAGCAATATGCAAATTTATAAAAACATGAACAGTTGACATTCTATGAGCACGTAAAATAGTAATTAATTTGCTATTCAAATTAACTCGTAATTATTGCAAATTAATCTTACAGGAAACTTGTGCAAATACATTTAACGCTGATATTCAATTTGACCACCTTTGGCAACAATAATAATTTGGCATCTTTTTAGCATTGTTATATGTAATTTCTTAAAGCCACTGCTGTAATTTGATTCCATTTTTATTGAAGCTGTTTGTAGAGGCTCTGTGTTGTGCAACTAATGCTTTTCTGATTCATTAATCCATCAGTTTTGTGAAAATGACTAACACCATTTTCAAATCCTCCTGCATGACTGACTGACTGGCACATCGTACTCCTTCTGCTACCTCTCATTGACTATTCAACAAACATATGAATCAGTTGGAACCAAACCATTCAAATTTAGACTCGTCTGTCCAAAACACCTTGTACCACATTTTCAATGACCAAGATTTGTTTTGTTTTTTTTTTTCAAAAGCTAGTATTTTTTACTGTATTTTCTTTGGATGGTAAGGGCTTTCTTGTTGCTACTCTTCCCCAAAAGCCAGTTTTCTGCAGTATTCATGAGCATATCCTCTTGAAATTTTATCTGTGCAGTTTTTTTCATTTTCTGAATGATTTGATTTTAGTCATCTGATATCTTTCACTGAGCATTTTTCTCCATGCTCTGCCTTTTTGTTGTAGGAAAGGATTTTCTTTTGGCCTGTCCAATGTGTACTTCATAGTACTTGGTGAAAGCTGAGTCCTTTTGCAATTTTTCTGACATTACAACCAGCATGATCACTTACTGTTTCCTTACACAAAATTTTCCATTGTAATAGCTTCTGTGGTGGACAGCAAGCTAGTCTAAAACCACATGTTTCAACAAATAGATCAAATGCACAAAAGCCCATTTGAACTGCATTGGAAAATGTGACATGTATGTAGTCAAATGAGATTGCTGTAATTGCAGTTTTTTCAGCCATTTTTCTTAGGAAAGCAACCACTGAGTTTAAAGTGTGGCTTCAACTTATTAGCCTTCATTAATTTTATATCCATCAGTATTTGTGACCAGTTTCAGGTAATATTCCAAGCTCTTTCAGAATGTTTATTTGGATTGTATAGCTCTCTTTTGCATCTCTAACCTTCACTTTCCAGGTGAGGATGCTGTTCTGGAGTTACTTAGGGTATAGTTTCAAAATGTAATAGTATAATAAATGTTGTCATGAAAGCTCTCATGTTTTGGGGAAGATCATCAAAGATTCCATTCTTCAAATCTTGTGTCCTTTAGTTGTATATCATTTACCAATCTTGGTATATAAGTATCCTTTCTTGGAAAGGGCTGTGAAATGTTCCTGCTATAAGTTTTGCTATGGCAGCATTGCATTTCCAAATAATTGGAATACATGTTGAACCAGATGTGTTGGTGCTAAATACGTTACCCAAAGAGATATATTTCAAATCTATAGTGACATACCACTGAATTAGCTTATGCAGATCATTTTTATAGAGTATAAAACTCTTTATGTAATTTTAAGAAATTACAAATTAAAAAAATGTTTTAATAGTGTGATTCTCAACATTTTGTTCATATATGTAAAACTTGGTGTTTCAAACTTTTATTGGTATATTTTTATTAACATGTTGTAACTATCTTAACAGGGGAATGTATGCTTATTCTTATTTATGCACCTTTCTCCTTAATTTCTTAAATAAGTGTTCAGGCCAAGTTGTTGTTGTTTTTTTTTTTTTTGTAGGTCTAAATAGAGCCCCAGGTGGACCACTACAGAATCAAGAAGTTGGAAACAAAATGGCAATAAAAACAACTTCAGCTATTGCAAAAGAATTGCTTGATTCTGGTAAAGATGCTCATCTAATGTATATATTTTTTTTATTCTAGATCATTTTTTTTTGCATTATTCACAATGAAACAACTATTTTGTTCTATGTGTATAAGACTTTATTATTCTCAGAGTCCAAATATACCCACCCCACCCCTCTTGACCTTCCTCATGTCATCCTGTATTACTGTGTCAAGTTTGGTGCTGATTGATCAAGAAATGTGGAAACGTATAAGGAACAGATATACATAACGACATTTTGGGACAGATGGGACCTGTTGGTCCATCTCAGCTGTTCCGTCCTTTAAACTAAATTAAAACTGTTAATAAGTAAATAAATCTTAAAACCATTCATATACATGTTAAGCTTTTTCTTAAATTCACTTAAATTTACTGCCTCCACAACACCCGAAGGCAACCCATTCCAAAGGCCAACCACATTGTTAGAAAGATTAAACTATCTTAGCTGAAGATGACTCCTACCCTGCCAAAATTTATATTTGTCTCCCCTAGTCCTACTATTCTCACTGTTAAATATGAAAAAAGATTATGCATCAACACTATCAATTCCCTATACAATCTTAAACACCTCAAGCAGATTCCCTTTAACTTTTCTTTTTTTCAAGAGAAAACAATTTCAGAGATCTTATTCTCTCCTCATATGATAACCCCTCCATTCCAGGCACCATTCTAGTAACCTTCTCTGAACACTTTCCAACAATTCAGGTTTTTTATAAGATAAGAACCCAAGACTGAACACAATATTCCAAGTGTGGCCTAACCAGTGACCTGTACAATGAAATTATAACTTCTTTAGACTTGTATTCAATGTTTCTGTTGATACAAACTAAAATCCTATTTGCCCTACCATTAGCAACAGCACATTGCTTGGATGGCTTTAGAGACTGATCAATTATTACACCAAGATTCCTTTCCTTCATAACACTATTAAAGTTATTCCCATTCAAATTATACTTATAATTCAAATTATGATGACCCACATGCATTATCTTGCATGTATTATAATTAAAACCCATCTGTCATTTATTTGCCCAGCTCACTAAATTATCTAAATTCTTTTGTAAATCAGCAGCATCCTCTTCACAGCTAGCAACACCCAAGACCTTAATATCATTTGCATAAAGTAACTTATTGATCATTCCTTCATCTATGTTATTGATGTAAATCAAAAAAAGCAAAGGTCTTAAGACTGAACCCTGAGATACCCCACTTGCTTCAATCTTTGTTAGCAAGAACTGAAGAAAAACCAAATTTAACAACTCGGCCATTTTGTAAACATCAGACACAAGCCTTCCTTTATCATCCCTCAAGGGTCCTACCCCCATCTTAGCATTTTGTTTAACCTTAATGTATTTAAAGAAATCCTTACTGTTAATTTTTACATTTCCAGCCAACCTTTTCTCATACATCCTTTATGATGTCCTAATTTCCCATTTCACCAATTTTTTTGATCTTCTAAATCTTCTGTCATACCAGTCAATTTAAATTTCTTAAATTTATGATACTTTTCTTTAATTTTTATCTTTTATACTCTTTGTAAACCAGCCTGGTTTTTTACTTGCAGCTACCCTTTTCTTTCTATAAGGAATATGTTTACCTTGAATATTTAAAAAATTTCCACATCTTATCAATGTCACCAAATAATTCAGTTGACCAATTCACAACAGATAATTCTTGTCACATCCCTTCAAAATTTGCATTTTTGAAATTTGTCTCCATATGCAGCAAAACATTGAACCTAAAAAAGCGATGATCACTTGCACCCAGATGTTCCCCAATTTTCACCCTCTCGATCATTTTTATATTTGAAGTTAACATTAAATGTAAAATAGCATTGTTTCTAGTAATTGGTGAAGAAAGCCATCTTTAACAGTTTTAAAAAGACTTTCTCCCTCATGGTTTGACTCTATCAGTTCCCAATTTATATGCCTGAAATTAAAATCACCCATAACTATGACTACGTTAACAACTTTAATCTTAATCTCATTGTAAAGTTTCTCACTAATATCATCAGTATCATTTGGTAGTCTGTAACAAATTCCCATTAAATGCCTATTTTCTTTATATCCACTAACAGAAACCCAGATGGATTCAATATTCTTGCTATTATCTCTGATATCTCCAACTTCAACAGGATGTAACTCACATTTTACATGTAAAGCAACTCCCCCCCCCCCATCTTTAATACATTATTCCTAAATGGCCAGGTGGCTAAGCTGCTTGACCTGCAATCTGTGGGTCGTGTGTTCAAATCTCTGAACCACCAAACATGCTCACCCTTGCAGCTGA